TGTAGCCCAATTACAGCTATCTTTTCACTGCCCCGTAACACTACAGGTTGCTAGAACAGACCCTATTCACAGTCATAAGAACCCATTCCCATGCTATCAACACTTCAGCACTGAGGGATAAGAGATGAGGTGCCTGAGATGCCAGACTGAGTCAGTCTAGGTTTAAACCTACAGGCGTAACAACTAGACAGCTCTGAGTCATTATTGAGGAATTGGAAAAATGAAAAATATCTTCATAGTGAAATATTAAAGCTAACCACAGTGGACGGCAATTTTATTGGAGTCTGAATGTGATAAAAATCAATCAATTGTGTCACTGGTGAGAACAACATCCAGGGCTAAGTGAGCCGCTTTGACTTTAACAAATCTGGAGAATAAAAGCTTTAAAAAATAAAAAATAAAAAAGCACGAGCAGTCAAGAGTCCTTAAAAGGAGAATGCAATGGCAAAATAAATGGGAAAACTCCAGTATTTTTGTACTGCACTTGTGAAGATGGAGGCCTCACAAATAATGAATAGTATCAATGTAGCAGAGCCTGAGAAATCCTGAACAAAAACACTGAGTCAGAGTCTTTCACAGGGGTCCAGTGGCTCTGAATCCACAATACATAAGAAGCGGTCGTCAGTCAAGGATCCATCTTCCCATGGGCTGTTACCTCTCAACTTTGCTGCTACTGCTGATGGACTCGTTAGGTTGCTAACAGAGCTGTGGAAAGGCCATTTTAAGATAAGAAAACTTCAAGTCGCATGAAGTGCAACAGCTCAACATCAGTGAGGAGCAGAGAAACGGAGGGATTGCTGAATCGCTGTAGCTGTCTGAGACACTGCTGAGCTGTGGGTTCAACTTTGTTGAGAAATACATAGTTAACAGTCTGGTCCATAATTTGTTAGACAGAGATCATAATTTGCCTCTTTGCACCACCTGCAGCACCGTTTTTTTATACACAGCTCACAATTTTTGGGCAAAGTCTAATCTGGCTGTAAAACCTCTTTATTCCCATTCATGAAGGCATCAGTTGAGCGTAGACCTCGACAATAATACGTGTTCTTGGTCTTGACTTGGTTAGATGATGATTTATTCATTTTTTTCACCATTTAAGTGTTGCTGAACTGACGTATTCGTCCTTTCTAAGAATGAACCAGATAGCTGATTTAGTCAACTAAGATTTGGTTGTCTGGTTTATTTTGGTGTTTCAGCCCAAAGACGGGTGTTAAGTGACCTCACATACACAGACATCTGTGTAAACCTCATCCTTCAACTTCAGATTCACATTTGCTTCATTTGTCATGAAGTAGCAAAACAACAGGTCTCAGCTGGAAATGAAACTACTTGTCAATTAAATGTCCAACTAATTTGAAGCTTCTGAAAATGGGGGCTGTGTATATAAAAGTTTATGTAATTCCTGCTCAGTTACTGCAAAATTATTTATAAAACCTCTTGAATTAAAGCTGAAAGTCTGCACTTCAATCAGATATTTACAATAAGGACCTAATTCAAATAATCAAGGAGTTGCTTATACACCATGGATTTGGAGAAACGTAACATCCTTAGCTTAATTCAATTCGATGCATACAGCACTAATTGACAACAACAGTCACCTCAAAGGGCTTTATATTGCCTGGTAAAGAAAAAAACCCAACAAAATTGCACTTTGGCGACAGTAGGAAGGAAAAACTCCCTTTTAACAGGAAGAAACCTTAGAACCAGGCTCAGGGGGGGGGCGGCATCTGCCACGACCGGTTGGGGGTGATGGGGGAGAGAGAGAAAAAAACCTTAATGATGGAACATGATGATCATCAGTGAATACAACACATGTATATAAGAAATTTACCTTTCTTCAAGTCAATTTTCATCTTCTTGCCACCCTTCCTTCCTGTGAGGTTAGACATGTTGGCGGAAGCAGGACTCCTACTGGCCAGCGGGCTCTCACTGCGGGGCCAAGTTGTCGGAGACGAGCTCGCAGCCCTGGCTGTGGACGTGGGAGACGCTCTCTCTAAAGAGCCGTACACAGACTGAACAGACTCCACCGGTTGTGAGTTTACCAGAGTTGGCTCTGGGGTCTTCGTGTGTGCGTCTGGTCGCCTCATATCCGTCCTGGTGTTCATTTTAGGTTCTGGTTTGGGTTCTGGTTTGGGTTCTGGCTTGGAGTCGGCTTTAGTGCGCGTCACCACTGGACTGCCTTTGGTAGACGAGTCTTTGCTGTCGCTGGTGAAAAGCTGACCTATGAAGCTTTTCTCATAGCGTGACTTGTTGGCTACAGGAAGAACCTCCACATGCACTGAAGGCAACCCCATAGCTTGGCGGAACACTTCCTGAGACCTAGAGAGGGAGACAAGGATAATTTAGGAAAAGTAAAAAAAACAAGATGACAACTTTAATCGCTCTCTCTTTGCTTTGTGGAACATTACAAACCTGTAAACCAACAAAGGAGAACTCAAAAGTGAGGCTGAACACAGAAAGAAAGAGAACACAGAATTGGAAAGCAAAGAAGGAGAGGGTGAATGAGGCTTGTGCTTCACTAAAGGGCTGTATTATAGTTTGGATTAACAACAGTGACTCCTCCAGCTGGCTTGGGACACTGTGGTCCCTATCAGATGGTGAGACCTTGAAGCAGGATCCTATTCCAGCTTTAATAGACCACTATCAGCCCCACATTCACACAAAACAGAGAACAGAGTGAGATGCAGTTAAATTGACCCATTCAGAAAGAGATATAGGACGGGGGAAAAAAACCCAGAAAGGACACGGACAGGAGTTTGAAGTGTGTGCGCTGAAAACATGAGAAAAAAAAAATAGAATAATACAGAGACAAAAAAATACGCCATCGGTAGAGCAGATGTGGTGTGAGATAGCATAGAGCAGAGAATGTGAAGGATTTGTCTGGTTAATAAAGGAAGCAAAGTGAGTGACAGGTGGGGTATTTCTACAGCGTTATAGTGGTGACAGGATGAGTGGGAGTACACACACACACACACACACACTTTTTTTTGCTTTTACGTTTTTAGTTCCTCATCACATCCCTGACACGCACACATATACACCACATGTCTTGGGTTGTGTCAGGATAAGCCGATCCGCCTCAGATCCAATTTGGATGATGTTAACAAATAATTTTCAAATCTTTTCGTCTTTTCCTAGCAACAAGGTTACAATCTTCTGCCAAATGGAATCACCTGGAACACTTATTTTTGCCATTTGAACAAAAGAATAATCAAACAATCAGCAAAACCAAAGCGCATAAGGACGGATTAAGCAAACGGCAAACAAAAAACTCACAGGAGCCAGGTCCGGAAGAAGAAGAATGGAGAAAGAAAGGGAAACATAGATGAGGGGAAACAAATGGGAAAGGGGGAGCTGCTCAGTTCAGTAAGCTTTTAAGATCCTCCACAGTCTGGGTCCACGGTTTAATTACGTCTCCTTTAGCCCTGTGGATATTCTCAGAGGAGAGCTAAAGATAAGCAACATCAACAAACGCGAGCAACCATTGTCACCGTCTAAGCAAGTAATGCAATTCCCACCTGGTGGCAACCAAAGTCTTCAAGGTGGCTAAAAACACATTTCTGGAGCAGCTGATGCAAATCCTTTAACTCTTTCCTCCAAAAAGACGACATCTGACGACCCCCCCATTACCACAGCAGAACATCTGCCTCTAGCTCACCTCAAGCATCCTCCTGTCACACCAACCCCTCTACGTGTCCTCCTTCACTACATCCATGAATCTCCTCTGTGGTCTTCCTCTTTTCTCCCTGCCATCCAGCTCCATATTTAACATCCTTTGCTCACTATATTCACTCTCCCTCCTCTGCACATGTCCAAACCATTTCAACCTTGCTTCTCTCCATTTCCCATGTCTGTTAAAAGCTCAGCCATAACATTAAACATCCTCATGCGACCAGAACTGACACACTGAGGGGGATATGAGCCCGCTAGGGTCGTCTTTTAGTGTCTGGCACCAGGATCTCATTGAGTTCTGTGAATGGATGCATGGGGGCTTGGACGTGTTGTGGCGCATCCCGCAGACACTCAACCTGAGCAGGCCATTACACGTTGAGCAGTGTTGCCTGTAAGATGTTAATCTGTTTATTTTATTAAGAACACATCCCCATGCATGAAACATAGGCTCCATGCTGAAACTATTAAGTCAATCTAATATACTGTACATGTTTCAGATCAAATATTAGCTTTGATTTTGGTTTCTGTGTTGAAAAACTGCACTCCCACACACACTGGCCAACTTACTGCGCAAAGGTCTTGTCCTGCAGTGGTGTATCATTGATTTGGACGATGCACTCGTCCTCCTTGAAGAGATTCTCCTTCTTGGACCGACTGTTTTCCTCGATGCCTTTAATGTGGAGGCCAAGGGGTCTTGCGACAAATACAGTATGGAGTCAATATGAAATCACGGAGGTAAACACACATGACTACATGGCAACACTCGAGTAACTTCTGCATTTTTATGAGTCAACATTGCCATCTGCCTTTCCTTGCGCAGGCCTGCTTGATTATGAGAGGATGTGGAGAAGAGAGCGTTTATGTGAGCTTACCGTCCATTGAGCGAGGAGCAGTATGGGACCACGTGTATACCCAGGGGCCCACGGTCACCAGGGAACTCGACTGTCCTCGTCAGACTACTGCCAAAAAATACACAAATCAGGGACATGAAATCCTGAAAACACAGATACAGTAAAAAAACAACAACAACAAAAAGCTACACACACTCAACCTTTCCATTTGCATTTTCCTCCAGGCTACACAGATAGGGATAGAAATTAGCTTACAGGCAGCCCTGCCAAAAATTGGAATTATGTGTGTGTTTTTGTGTGTGGGGTGTGTGCGATTGAGGACGCAGGTGGCTACTTCACCCCTTATCTACCTGCCTCTCAACTACCCAATCTAGCCGGTGGACAAAAGAAGAGAGCAGGAGATAAAAGAAAGAGACAGATAGAGGAGCAGATACAGATGAAACAGAATGAGGTTCTCTAATAATCTCTGCAGAGCCTTGAACTGTGGCTTTTAGCCGCAGATAAACAAGGACAATACCACTAAAGATAAACAAGAAGAGGGCTGCTTTTGATATTGGTTAGAGGAGAGAGGGGGACCTGCACGCTACGAGAAGATCAGAGAACTCCATCTCTGTCTGCAGGTTTGTTCTTATAAACACAATTATGGATCGTGTCTTCACCAAATTAATACAGTACGGAATTAATATACTAGTGCGTGCAGATTAAAAGCATTCTTTAAGTTTAAAACTGCTTTTTTTTTAACTTATTTGTATGCTTTGGACAAATCTCGAGTATACATTTTGCTTCGGGGCACCAGATTTGTTGCTGATGTGGACAAAAAGTTGTTATCTAGATGGGTTTAAAGTGGAAATTAAACTGTTGACCTTTTTGTTTGAAAGAGCAAAGCCTAAACACAGTGGAGGTTACCCACAATGATATTTTTAACATGTGGATGACAAGTGACAGGTCCTTAAAGCAGTACTAGTGCTGTGTGTCATGTTATTTTTGTCATTTCATTGTTGTGCATTGTGATGTGATGCAAACCTCACAGCGCAGCAGTCTCGCTACCATCTTGTCAACCTTCCCTTTCACTCTTTGCTCCTATCCTTCAGTCACAAATCGCCCCAGACACTCGTCTCCACCCTGCCTGCGCTCCGTTCCTCACCTCTCTTGGGCACTCTCCATCGCTTTCAGGCATTTAAACTCATCTCCCTTCACCTTTCTTTCCATCTCCCTCTCATTCACACATGTATTTTCTCTTACGTCTACAGAGTTTGATTCCTCTTCCCTCCAGAGCATACCTCCACCTCTCCAGGCTCCTGCTATAACTACAGATAACCATGTCGTCTGTGAACATCACAGTCCAGGGAGACTCCTGCTGGACCTCATCTCTACATAGGATGGATGTGGTGTGCTTTCTTCTCTCAAAAACATGACCAGATTGTTTGTGAAAAATTACAAAATAAATTGCAGTTAAACACAGAGATCTAATTAATGGAAAGTTTTGAATATTTTATCCTCATGGCTCATCTAAGTGTGCAAATCTCCATTTCCTCCTAACTGCATACTCAAGTGTAGTTAAACAAGTCACTGAAACCTTAATTGCTACTAATGTGTGTAACTATAAACTGTAAACTATAAGTCAGTTTGGAAACCAAGTCTCTTAGTTTATTGTAACTAAATGGATTTAATTGATTGGTTCTTATGTAGTACTCTTCTGCTCCACACAAAGAGCTTCATGTCTCATTCGCCCACTCACACACACATTCACACTCTGATGAACACATCCTGAGATGAAAGTATTTTTCCCGAGGATACTTTGGCAAACAGGAATTGAACCGCCAGCCCTCTGAATAATACAGTGAGCCACAAACACCCCATACCTCTTAAAAAGTTATGTGTACACGTAAAACCATGACTTCAGTCATCTGGAGAATGAAGCAAAGCCTAATATATTACATTACATTCATTAGGCGTGTGCCATTTGTCCACTGTGAGTCTGTGGATTCTGCCTCCACAGAAAGAAGTCGTCCAAACTTTACGAACGAGCAAATAAACATCTGTTTACTTGTAAAGTAAAGGTACTTTTGACCCGACATCACTGGGTGAAAGCACGGCTATGTTTTCAGCCTGTAGCAGGGGAAAGGGAGACTCTTTCATGTCCTTATTTCAAGGGATATTTCCATTTCAATTCAGTTTTATTTATATAACACCAAATTACAACAGCAGCCACCTCAAGGTGCTTTATATTGTAAGGTAAAGCCAATAATGGAGAGGAAACCCCAACAATCAGCCCCTATGAGCGAGCACAAAAGTGTGGAGGATAAACTCCCTTTTAACAGGAAGGAACCTCTGGCAGAGTCAGGCTCAGTGAGACGAGGCCATCTGGTCATCAGAACACAGCCTGGAACATAACAGTGAGTATGAAACCAGATGTGAGATGAAACAGGAGCCCAGGAAAGTGTTAAAACTCAAGGAGATCTGGAGGTAGAAGAAGTCTCCTTGTTCTTATATTATCCAAGATAATAATTCTGTCTTCCATCGTTTAGACTACAACAGAATCTGCATTTCTTTTAAAGTTTCCCACATAGCAAAAAAGTTACAAGGCAAAAAGTCACGAGTTTTTAAAAAAAAACTTTTATGTGTGTATGTGGGATTTGAAAGGAAACACAAGAACGAGTCTGAGAACAAAAGCACAGAAGTTCAAGTTTTATGTGCTTCACGCACGTACACAAGCCTAAGGACTAGCTGGGATCATTACAACGCACTCCTCCGTCACTGTCACCCTGCTCTCGTTAACCTCTGCCAGGGTCACACACATACTGTACACACACATCCAATTTGCATTCTTATTGCTACATCGCTCGCTCGCAAACACCATCAGTCACATTCCTCCAAATTGAAAATTCAGATACACACATGCATCGCATTTACATCTATTAGAGAACACAGTTACATCTAAATTACAGATGTGCACAAACCATGAATTACACAAACGCACGCATGCACACACGGCGTGAGAATTTACTTTCAGAGAGGGTACACAATGAGGCCAGGATTGTTTAGCATCATACAAACACACAGGTACAAAGCTAGTCCTGCATGATCTAAATGTATTCACGCGGTGTTGGGGGGGGGGTTAACAAACACACACACACACACACACACACACACACACACACACACACACAGCTTTAGCCCATTTACATTCATATAAAAAACAAACTGTGGCACAAACAAGCTCATCAGAGGCAACAGTAGCTTGTTAGCGCTGCACGCTAATATGCAGAATAGCTCCGCTCACCCATTTTAGCATCCCACTGACACAAACACAAACAAACACAGTCATTCCACTGGGGAGGGGTGCGAGGGCTGGGACTGGAGGGGGAGGGGGAGCAGTGGGATGGATGAAAAGAGCAACGAGGAGTGAGACAGATGGAGCTCCCACTCTTGGTTGACTTCCTCTACGTCGACAGAGGCCGAGTGTCTAACACACTCGCAGCCGGGACTCCTGAAAATGTGCCCTCGCTCGCTCACCGTAGTGTCTTCAACTGCCAACCATCTGTTACCATGGCAAACTATCTGTGAGAGCCGTGCCTCCATTGTATCACGGGGCTGTCAAGACACCACTGTACTGTAAAACGCTGAAGAATCACCATCTGTCATTCCAGCCAAGTCCTCCCTTCTGAGCGCCCGCGACTCTGAAAAGAGCCATTTTCTAATCGGGGTGATGGTGTAGGGGGGGGGATCGATCTGCTGCTGCACAGGAATGTCACACAACCATCGGCTTTCCAGTCACGGCCTTCCTGGATGAGACAGGTGAAGGGGCTGCGGTGCAGGGTTTAATTGTTACCATGGTTACTGTGACTGACAGCCTCAGAGAAAGATGAAAAATGATGATATGACTCCCGTCGAGCCGGACGTCTGCAAGTGATGACTCCAAAAAACAAAAAAAGGCGGATGCTTCCACGGTGAGACGTCTATTCAAGCCTGAATACTGTACATTCACTCACCTGTACACACACTCACACACATTTGACTTTTACAGGTCAGCCAGCAGTGCTTGGCCAATCATGATCAGATTATCCCAGAATTATTACACCAAAACCACCAGAAGCCACGCCTCCATAAAGACACAAAACAACCATCATTAGCCAAAAAATACCAAAACCCGAGCAACAATAAGTGATGCATCCTGACCACTGTGTGGTAACTCTCACCCTTAAATGTATGAAATAACTTTAAACGGCCTTTGCTGTCCACAGTGCTTACCAGATCATTGCGTGTCACCTAGTCAGACTTAATTAACCTAACTGTGAAAGCGCTGAACTCAGCCTAATTAACCCTGTCAGCTATCTAACTGCTAACACGGGAAACCAAACATCTTTAGAAATCTTCTTTTTTTTTAACGATTGCCTACATGCTACACCCTGTCATCACACCTGAGACAACAGATACGCTGGTTTCTGATACTAAATGGTGCCTCGGTGCTTGGTTGCTCTCAGGAACCGAAGGAGCGATCCTACCCGGATATACCCGATTACCTCAGACGTAACACGAGTTTAGCAATAATTCAGTTTTTGGAGGTTTTTGAGTTGGTTATAACCAAACCAGATATGCAGATTGCTGGGATGACCGGAGCGCACGGCACACAGGAAGAAGTTATAATCAAACTTAACTGAATTAATCATACTCAGTATGCTGACAGTGACATAAGCCAGTGTCTGACGCCACATTATCTACAGATAATGTGCTAAACACTGACAGTCTGATTAATCAAAAGTAAAATAAAGATATTAAGTATTAATTCAAAACATTATTAGTAGCCCTAGGTGTAACATTAATATCCCCAGCCTTCCTTTTCATCTAGACTCCAAGCACAGCTGTGCAACACTGCTGTAAACTGAGCTTGGGGCTATTTTTAGATCTAAAATCAGATCTGAAATCTGAAAAAGACTCTTTAATGAGCTTTTAATCTTGGCTTTTCATATTCCTCTGCAATATTATTAGTACCAGTGTATCTGCTAGAATAAATTTGAACTGTTATTTGCATTTATGCAATAATCCAGGCCCACACTCACTTCTGTTGCAGCCTAAACAGATGAACAACTGTCCCACCCACAACCTCATAATGGGTTACACACACACACACACACACACACACACACACACACAAATGTTTAATACTGTCATAGTGTCGGGCTGTCAAACAAAGAAAAGAGTCGTAATCCTAGTCTCCATCCCTGTGCCACACCAAGCTACCTTTAAGAGTGACACCTGCACACACACACTTACCTGAAGTTAATCTTGCTCATCTTGGCAGGGGGGTCTTCTGCAAGTCGGTCCAGAGCTCCTTTCAGTACATTGCCGATTTCCTGTATTAGACATGAACAAACAAACAAAAACATTAAGTCGTTGATAGCTGCAATGACAAATGAACAGTTTTTGACCTGTACGCGCGCTGAACAGCAGCCGGTCGGGGAACACGAGGAGGCCCGCCACCAATTAGTAAAACAATCTCACGCCGCCATCAATCACCTTTGGAGACAGTGAAGGAAGAATGACCACCGGACGCTGAGCTCTTACCACACGCCGCTGTCCTTCCTTCACTCTGTGTACATTTCTATCTATCTACTTCTCCCTGCCCTCCCTCCCCCTCCTTCATCCATCCCTGCCCTGTTTGTCGGGGCAAGCCTCTATTTTTAAGTCTACAAAGAAAAAACACAACAAAAAAAAATCAACAACCCTGGGGCAAACGAATAAAAAGGAAGAGGGAGAGAGAGAAATGTGGGAGCAAAGAAAGAAAGCGACAGCGTCAAACTGTTGTGAGACGCTCAAACACACTCGAGGGGTGGGACTGAGAATTCGCCCCAGATCGGTAAAGACAAGAGGGGAGCAATTAGGTCCTTCTGCCTTGTCACTTTCATTGTGTCACCAGTACTAATGGCTGAAAAGCTCCCCGCCCACCAGCCCACTACTTAGCAACCCCACCACCACACCCAACTCCCCTATGGACCCTCTGTCACAGTACAGAATAAATATATGCTTTACATCTCACGCGCGCGCGCTTCCTGCAGATATTACCTACACATACCGTCTCTGCAGAGCTGCAAACGTGGAAAAAAAAAAAACATGATGTGTTTATGAATACAAACACATATGCTGCCTGCACAAATAGTGACCCACTTATCTGGGCTATGTGAGATTACCCCCCCACCTACAGTGGAGCACATGTGTGCGGGGGCAGAAAAGATGAGCTGGAGGCTCCATTGTTGCTGTGCATCTTCCCGCAACGCCATTAGCTAACGCACACGCAACACATGCTTCTCCATCTTTGGTACATCCTCATCACAGAGTGAGGAATGGAGCCCTTGGGAATGCGAGGCTGGCAGGAGTGCAGGTGAACACGTGTAACGTGAACACGCGCGCTTAGCTGTACATCCCGTTTTAAAGGAACTGTACCATGAAAAGGAACTGCAGCACCACGCACACATTAGGTACAGTAGCATAAAATCCTCCCCGTGTGCCTGCGTCTCTTCTAAAATTACATACGTTATATAAGATAGGAGATGGAAGGGTACATAAACACACACATAAACCTGCATATATTTAATGCTTTAACATTAAGGGATCAAGCCAATCTCTGATTGGGAGCACTCAGGTTTAAGTGGTTGTAAAAACAGCAGAATCCCTGCTGTGCTCAGCCAATCAGCTTGCCCCTTTCGGTGTTTATATCTCAGCACACTTAAGAGGAACATTAGTGTCATTCCAGCCTCTCTAAGGAGAGTGAAAAGGCTGCAGTGTTTGGGTTTGCAATAGTAAAACTTTTAGAGATGAGATGTTTGTTATATTAGTGTACTTATGTAACGGATACCCATACTAACCCATGTGCTACTGGGCTATAAGGTCGTCTCCTTGTGCATGTCTGGACTGATCCCAGTGCAGTTGCCATTTTAACATCGCTCCCTGAAAGTCCCCTTCGGACCGACTGTATGCACTTTCTGTAACTTACAGATTTGTCCTGAGACAAAAACGATCTAGTTTTCACATGGAGGATCATTATGAGAGCTAGGTCTCCCAGTATGACTCAGAACAAACTGGACTTTTTCAAGTTCAAAGATGACACATCAGATCAGGAGGTGTGTATGCTAAGGTTTGTAGTATATGAACCTTGAATTAGTTAAATGGGACATTTACTCACACTGCTGGATGCATAATGGCCAACTCTGAGTTCAGTATCTTGCCCAAAGGTACTCTGAGAAGCAGATTGGAGTAGCCAGGGATCAAACCACCAAAATTCCAATTGGAAAATGACCAGCTCTACCTCCTGAGCCGCCCTACTCCAAATTATCAAGGCATCTCAGGGAAGACGTTAGGCAGAAACTATCTGAACTGTGGTACGTGCGCCTGCCATTATGCTCATGGGCACCCACAACCTCCTTGCGACAAGAATAACGTGATGGTTGCTCAGTTATTGGACTGCAAATAGTTGCAATGATTAACTGGTTGCCCTGAATTTGAGCATGTGAAACATTCAAATTCTAAGTGACCACAATCACAAAATTGAACAAGGGGCCTCACGGGACCGTGTTCTGGCTCTGCAATCAGAGACAGACTGGCAAAGGTCTGCACATTTATAACCACAGACACAGACATGCCAGTATGTTGCAATCAATCTGAGTCAGTCTGTGGTGTTGACTATAACCCATGTGCAGCACATCTCTTTGCAGTAAGGGACTTGACTTGGTTGTATGCCTGTATAAAAGCAAGGTTGCAGAGTACCTATGTCGTTTTTCAGTTAAACTTCTGTCCTGCAGTAATTATGTCACTATGTGTGGAGGATATTCTGAATTTTTAAATCTATGAATTTATGCTGGATTCTGAATAAAAGGAGTTAATTTGGATTCCTGCTTTAGGTGAACTTGTTTGTATGTAGAAGGCAACAGATTTGGGAAATTTCCCCAATTCACCACGAACACAATTCCCAGCTCAAACTGATGATCACTAACAGCAAACCAACTGCATCATTTTGCATCCTTTACTGTCATATTGACACCAAAGTCACTTTGAAGACGGCAACTAACTGCAAGTGGTTGCAATCCTGGTCCCCATGAGTGAAGCAATCATTGTAAACAGTCACAGTAAGTTTGGTTGTGTTGCAGTCTCTAACCACTGTTTTCCCCATGCGTGACTGTAGCATAACATAATCTTCCCGCACCATGTGCACCACTTTCATCCTTTTAATATGCAAATGAAACATAAGCAACAGCACTGAAAGAGATCCAGCGGCGCATTAGGAGACACCCATGAAGGGGAGCTCATTTTAAAATCAGGTTTTTGAGTTGTAAAAGATTTTCATTGCACCTCACACTGATGACTTTAGTGTGATCAGCACTATTCATTATTTTAACACTTATCTTTACCTTTTTTACACCAGTGTACAATAATGTCCCATCAGCAGACACTTTGTTTACTTCTGACTGATTAAAGTTCATATTCAGCTTCTTTCACTATTTTTAAAAGAATATTATATGAAGCCACAGTCCTTTTCCACAAGCATAAGATAATGAGCACTAAACCCCAAGTATTGTTTAGCTCTGATAACATCTAAACCCCCTCTGAGCTTACACATCCGATTGACACTTCAGCTTCTGTCTTAGCTTAAAAATGGACAGCGCCTTTTATCACTTATGGTTAAAGTGATACTTCCAACGCTTCAGCTTGTGCTTACTCTTTGTGCTATCACTTAAGCTCCTTTCAGCACCGTCTCTTCAGCTGCTATTGTCTGGGTATCCCATATGAATATATAAATTTTTTAAAAACCTGATGAAAATCAAAACTTTAAATGTTTCAGATGCTTCAAGTGCAGTTTTGACAGTTGTTTTTCTTTAAGAAATCATTATGTAATCTAGTTTCCTCTCTGAGTGATTAAAATGTGGCAGGCTTTGTGGTGCCAGGACGAACGCTCAAATAATTTGCGAAACCTGTCTGAAAAGCTGCCTAAGCACGACTAACAGGTTGTCTTCTCTGTTATTGTGCCGCACGACGCCAAACACGTTTCTGTTTGGAGGCAGAGTCGACGCTGTGAGTGACAGGGCGGTGCGCAGACATATGAGAGATGAGATATTTGTGTGTGTGAGCTGTTGTTGTCAGACAGATGAGTAATGAGGTGTGTGTGCCTCTTCCGTGTATTTCCTGTAGCAGCCTAGTTTGAGAAATAGCATGCGTGCACGTGTAGGGGAATGTGTAACCGTGGGATCACAGTTTCGATGTGCTCGCCGCTGCCCCCTGACCCTCGTCATATCCATCACATCAACTGACTGCCGCTGCTTGTGCGCTTTCTCACACATTGTCTTTAAAAAACACACAAATGCACCGCTAAATGCTGAAGCTTTGGAAAAGTCAACACCAGATGAACACGATAAAGTACGAATGACTGTTCAACTGCACTGCTACACCTCGACATATTAATAATGAGACAAAAAGGTGAGAGAGAAAAAGTGAATGAAGAAATATTATCCAAGCATTATAAGAAGGGAGAGTGCAAAAGGTGAGAGGAGCAAGAGAAAAAGCAGCCGCTCCTACAGTTAGCGGGGTAGCATTAAATGTCTCATTTATTAGCTACGAACATAGCAGGAAGTCTGGATCAATTAAAGGGCCGACTGCATGTTTAGCACTGCTCAGCCTTTTGCAAGTTTCATTAGCTCTTCAGATATAAAGGGAAAGGCTAAGAGAAATGTGTGCTGCATGCGAGTCAAAGAGAGAGAAGTGGAACAACCTTAGCTTTCACCATAGCAGGCAGTGAAATCAATTAAAGGGGCAGGATGCATATTTATCACCTTATCAGGCTGAATTAGACTTTATCTAGCTTTCAATACCTACTTCAAGACAGAAAGGGACAAAAGTGTGTATGTGTGTTGATTTAAGTGTGTGTTGATTTGAGTGAGTGAGTGTGTGGATGAGAGTAAGGGGGTTTCCAGAGGAGTTGGTGGTACAGTGGATGAGGGAGGATGAAGTGATAGCGTATTGATCTAAGGAGTCCATCAGGCCGAGGACTCAATATGCCCAAGAGCTGTGACGGCCTCACAAGCTTTCACACAAACACACACACGACACTAAGGCTCCCTTTCCTCCTCCACACGTCGCCTACAACATACATAAATTCCACAGGCTTGGATCGCAGGTCTTGATCAGATTACTGATTACTGCAGCCGTGAGCAATCATTAATTACTTTAAGACTAATCCCTGATTCTTACCCTGCAAATCTTTTAACGGCTAAAGAAACACATGAGTGAATGAGCAGGAGTTAAGGTTCACGGTAACTCACTCAAGAGCACAAATAAAAAATCTTAAAGCTCCCGGGTGTGAGCAGCTGAAAAAACGGTTTTCTGATCTTAGTAAGTTCACGTGGATCAGAAAGGGAGAGCACCATTCAACGCTTAACTCAAGTCAATTTGACTTCAATTCAATTTATAAACACGGCAAGTAAAAAAAGGCTAGTGAGAAGAAAGAACTTGGTGCATCCTGGGAAGCTGCCAGCAGCATAGGCCTGTTGCAGCGTAACTAAGGGAGGATTCAGGGTCACTTGATCCAGGCGAAAAAAAACTTTAAGACAAATCTTTAAAGTAGAGACTAGAGTAGTGTCTGTCTCCCAAATCCAAACTGGAAACTAGTTACACAGAAGAGAGGCCTGAAAGCTGAAGGCTCTGCCTCTACTCTTAAACATCCTACAAAGTAAGTCAAAAAAAGTAAACCAACAGTCTCAAGGCCAAGTGCTTAAAGATGATACAGATGATGATTACTTAAATGTGAGTCATGGGTTATAAAAAAAAACAATAAAAGCTGCCTTTTCCAACGCCTTTCTCTGGAGCTGGATACCTTTAATAATCAAATTCACTCAATCTCAGTCAAGAAAAGTGGTTTATGTTGGAAATTAATTCAAGAGCTAGAGGTCACATCTCTGTCAGACTGTTCTTAGATCCACTGATACTGAGTAAAAGTTTATCTTGTAATTGTCATCTTAGTTGAGAGTATTTGACCAATATTGCTAAGCACAAAGTATAGCCAACGGTAATGTGAAAGTTTTGCTGGTATTCTGTCAGATAACAGTTTATTACAGCTCATTCATAAGGGAGCATCACTGTCTGCAGCAGGTCCCATAGCAATCCACTCAAAAGGTCATTTCACTCTGAATCACTCAAATCCATGGTGGCACTGGAAAAACAGGCCAGAAAATCCTCAAAGTCAGGAGCACAACTACTCTTAAGCGTCTTATTTGTACACATAAACAAAAGACAAGTTGGGCAGTTCATGTGGGGACACAGTTTGCAGTCACCCTTCCTCACAATAGCACCAAAGCTCCACATCAGACTCACTATGTTCTCACTATGGAAAATACTGAGGTGAGGGTGCTTCCTGGGCGGAGAATGCACAAAGGGATACATGACATTAGGGGTGGGCGATATAAACGATATACGATAGAAACTATATAAATTTAGCCAACGATAGAGATTTTGACTGTACCGCTCTATCGCGATAGCGCATGTTGATGATGTCAACAAGCTGCGCCTGTTTTGGTTGAAGATGGCCTCACATTTAATATCCATTCTAGAATATTTTGGTATACAAAAGGAGTTCATGGTGCCCCCATCCTGTGGCTGCAAAGCCCTCGAAGCAAGCTCAAATCATGACTCATCCATCACCGTGCTTTACAGTTGGTATGAAGCATTTGTGCTGATTAGTAGTGTTTGTTTGGTTTTTTACTTCTGGACAAACGTGGTCTTGCTCATTATACCCAAGCATCTCAAATTTGGTCTCATCTGGACAAAGGACATTGTTTCAGAAGTCATGTGGTTTGGTCTCAGGTTTTTTGTAATGGCTCTGAGCATTGCACCGTCTGACCTTGGTGTGAAATTGCTGTTAGGAGATTGTGGCACTATGTTAACACCCATCTGAATTCTCACAACCAACTAACTACCAAAACTTCTACTTTTATAGAGGTGTTCACACTGGCTGATGATCATTTGATTACGTAACCTATTAATTCCTATGGAAGCGGTAAGAGTGTACTTATGTTTTAAGGGAGTACACAGTAAAAACTCATTCTCACAGGACTCCATGCACACTTATATGCTCTGTCAGACCGGACTGTTTGCTTCCTGTATCTGATATTACTGCATACCCAACAAAAAAAAAAAAAAAAGACCCTCTCTGTAAGGTTGCAGCTTCTTACAAAAAGGCAAAATGTGACTTCCTGGTAGGAAAAGAGCCTACAGCCATTGCTGTCCATAGAGCCAAGCCACTGGTGTGGCTTTAAATGACAAAGCAACATAAAGAAACACTGTTAAAAAGAGTCACATTTTAAAAACAACATCTTTACAGGCCTTGTTTTTGTCTGGGTTTAAATAAGACTGCAGCAGTCGAAAGCAGGGATTCATCTGTCATGCAGCAAAGAGATGTGGAATTATGTAAACAGTTCTAAGGACACTTTAAATCATCTATAATGAGCCTGTTCATTTTGGTCCAGGCGTGCTGTTTGAAGCACACGAGGCCCGACATTTCTTGGACAAAAAATACGGGCTCTGTCATTGTGTTTACACGATGCCCACTGATGCCTGTGTTCTGCTTAGTCACCGCTGAGTTGAACACAGCAGGAGTAAACAGCAGGACTCCTTCTCCTCCCTCCCTCTCGCTACCTGAGTTTTCCTGACACACACATACAAGTGTGACCTCACCTCGATCTAGTCCTCCATGCACATTCAATAACCCACGGAGGACAAAAAAGTCGGCCTTAATGGCGGCCCGTTTCGAAAAGAGGCCGAGCGCTTGAAAAGCCGATCCTTTCAAAGTAATGCCTGGGGCAGAAAGCTGGACCACAAGAGGGATATTCAAGAGGTTTCTCCATTTGTCTTCAGTGAGTGAAAGGCAGAGACCAAATATGCAACTGGAAATACAATATGTTCATCTCTCATATTTATTTACTGTTCTCTTGCTTTCACTGAAAAACTAGTTTTACCCTGCAGGAGTTTAATCAATGGAGAGTGAACATTGAATTTCTGATGGAGCTCTTTTATTGCTCCTTTTAGAAAGCAATGAAATGAGGAAGACAAGAATACCTAATATAAATAATCGGAATATCTAACAGCCTATTTTCTCATCATGTTTAGTTGGCCAAAGGTAACGGCAGACATCAGTTTCACTGAGAAACAAAAAAAAATCAAATTTTGAAGTTATTTCCTGTGTAACTCACCGGTTCAAGAGATCCGTTGCGTTGCTTATCAGGTGGAGGTGTGGCTGTCGTCTCAAGGGGCGGGGCCAATGCAGAGTCGCTGCTGCTCCTCACCAATAGAGGTGTATCTGTGATGAGAGACATGGGCGTTAGAGACAAAGATAATGAGAGGATGCCGTCGGCTCCATCTGTGTTTGTCTTTCGTGTTGCACGCTGTTGAAAAGAATCAATATTATATTAGCTCTCTCAACTCCAAACCCACTGTGGGTGATGAGAAGAGATGAAATCAGAAGAGCAGAGGAGGAAAAGAAAATGGAAACAGAGTTGGCTTTTGTCTTCCTCGCTAAACATTTGGCCCCCATCGTTTCTAGACAGAAAAACTGTGATGGTTAGACAGGCCCCTGAGGCGCTGGCACGACCGAAATGAATAAAAATTCATTTGAAAGCATCTCGTGACACCCAAAGAAGATATTTTGAAAGAAAACAAAGAGAAAATGACTCCTGATTGAGCACGGCTAATGTATATGCGAAGAGAAACGACACGGGAAATGATGAGAAAGACAAAGTGTTTGGAAAACACGACCAGACAAAAAACACTGATCTCTTTTCAAGGGTTCCCATTTATTTTAGAATGACTCATAGACCCTGAGGGTGGACACGCAGCCACCCCAGCAAGATGCCCAAGCCTCACACCCACCCGCAGAGAGCATTTACATATGACCAGCTGTTGCCTCAACACTCCCATGCGCACACTCGCCGCAACCCCTCAGCCCAGAGGAAGGGAGAGGGAAACAACAGTGGGTCTGATTCCACAATAAAACAATTCGAAAGAAACTAATTTGGACTTTTGTGCTGCCTCTTGCGTTTAAAATCCACCCCAAAGGGAGCAGACGGGTATTTGTGGAGGTAAAACCCACGGTGGAGTGTTTCCAAATGCAACTCGACAGAGGAGAAAATAAAGTCAAGGGGAAAATAAAAAGGCAGAGTGTGAAGTAAACAGAAAGAAGGGGGGGGGGAAAAGCTGAGGAGAGAGCCAAGAGATGGTGACAGAGAAAGAGCAGGGTGAAAACCTGGAGAGGGAAGGCAAACAAAATTCTCTCCTTTCATGTAATCAATCTCTCTTTGGAGGGTCAACGACAGGGTCCTGGTCTAACGTGGTCAGAATAGAGAAGGAAAGAAGGAACTGGCAGAGGTCGGTGTGTGTGTGTGTGTGTGTGTGTGTGTGTGTGTGTGTGTGTGTGTGTGTGTGTGTGTGTGTGTGTGTGTGTGTGTGTGTAGACAGATGAAAAACGATCACTCCAATTGTCCTAGACACACAAACAAATATTCTTTCAGGCTCAAACACACTCATCCACACGTTCAATAATCTGAGTTTGTGTTCATCTTTATTAATTCATTTTTATTACTTATCCTAAACTATCAGCTATTCTTTGCTGACTCTCTGTCTGACACATTCCTTCTACCTCTGCTAACGCTGAATGTCAAAAAAAGACTCAACGCCGACTCGCTACCACCGACGTGATGGGATTTAAGCAAGACGTTCCGAACGAAAAGTAGGAAAAGCTTCAAAAATGTTGGTTTCTTTTAATTAGCACTCAAGTTTTCCTCTGTTTTTCCCTCTTACATTCAGTTTCTTTTTTTCCTGCTTTGTTGAGGAAAAAGCAGAATGTATGTGGTCCAATTTCAAAAAGCAGACTTTGTGTAGAAATGTTTAAACTACACAGGAAACCGAATGATTTGCCATAATGAAATGTGCTTTGATTTAACAGAGAAACATCCAGAGGAAAAAAAAAACGCTATCTCTCGGAGCTCGCATCAAACGGCATCAACGCTTCTCTTTATTTGTCTGTTTCTTGCTATTTGTTAATTTTGTGTGCGTCTAAACTAGGTCACGCTATCTGCACAAACTTCTCATCATTTAAGAAAAAAAAAACAACTCCTTTAGTGAAAGTGTATTCAAACTGAACACAAAGTGAATTTTAGAAACAGCAACTCTCTGCAAACGTGCAACTCTGTGCATCTCAGACATAAATCTGTCTGATGGAGGTAATGAGGGGAAGAAATGTCAATAGTGCAGGTTGAGAAGTTTCAACAGGAACCAAAAATCAGCACCGGCTTTGTGAAGATAAGAAAACATGGAGAGGGGTCAGGAGGAATAAATCAGAAATGAATGGAAGTTCCTTGTAAACTTAAGAGGTCGAGGTCGAGCTGTAAAGACACAGAGACAAGTATGACGCACACAGCACTAATGCAATGGCTGCTACAGTTACATTCACTGCGTGGGATGAATATACAATGACCTCAAAAGCAGTTCAGTGGCGTAGAAACTGGTCAACGATACCCTGACAACCACAAGTCTCTGACCAGTTGGCAAATGGTTTCTGGAAGTCACTCACGGTTGGTGGCAAAGATGCATATGATGGTGCAGGGAAAATCTGTTTAGTAAGTAGTTGGCAAGTGTTTGCAAACAAGTTGGCATCTTCCATGCAAACTGCAGGCAACTGCAGCAATCTGTTCGCGACCAAACCAATCACAATTAGTGCAAGGTTTTCAGTCTTGCACTATCTTTGCAATTTATTTCACACTGCAAAAGCCAGAAATCTCAAGCAACCACTTGCCAACATGTTGAAGAATCAACAGTTTTCCCTTCCTCCGACTGATCCACTGATCCATCTCTAGGCCTGTATGACTGAGACCTACGGTTCTTAACATCAAAAAGCAACAAGTTTGCCAAGTCAGTTTAGACTTATAAAAGGGACAAACGAATATAGTACTACATTGCTTTTAGGAAAGTGAATACAACATGAAAGTGCCATGTTTTCACTGACATTGAGCTAATTTAACTCGCAGACAGAGACCCCACTTATAACTGATACTGCCTCAAAAATTGAGTTTCAGTTCCACCTTTGGGGTATTTTGGTCTAAATTAGATGCAAATAAATTCGATGAACAACTAAAGCATTTTTATTTATCTTGCTCCATTTGTATGCATTATCTTACTAATATAAATTCTAAAAACGTATACAGCTATATTTATTTGCTACATTTTATACGAGCATTGATTAGTGCATCCCTGTTCCTTCCATTTAACCACAGAAGGCATGTTTACTGTTTAAACATTTCCAGATCAGCATATGCATTTGTAAAGGTCTCCAAGCTCAGAGGAGCCATTTATCGAATGCAGTAAAAACCTGTCATTAGATTTATGGAAAGTGAATGCAGGTAATGACTCACATGTAGTCCTACTGAATGATGAACTGCAAAACGCTGGAACAAACTGCACAGACAGACAGGTTCTTTAAGTGCCAAAATACATGACATCATGTTCATAACAGACGGATCCTGAGATTAGACACACTGAGTGATTAACCCATTTTCCAAATGGCTATAATTGATTTTCTAAAATGAGCTTGAGAAGTAAGGTGCATCATTGTGAAACCTCAGTCAAGAGCCTCCCCCTCCCACACACATACTTTGCTTCAATGTCAATGATGCGACTTTGTAAAGTGACCAAGGCTGCTCCATGGTCACAGTCAGGCTCCACTGCCCAGTGGTCAGCCCCATAAATCCTCCTCCATTTATCTATTGGAGTCAAATCTGCCTCTATCAATCCTCCAAGCACTTAGAGTCCCAGAGCTTGGCACAGCAATGTGAAGGAACCTAAGGCTCATTAGCATTGAACTCTGACCTGCAGTGACCCCTGGACGGTCAAGCGGTGTCACTAAGGGGCGGGAATATTGATGAGAGTGACAGTTGTGACTCTCTCAGGTCAGTCACTATTTGAACGGTCATAAACAAGACTCTCTCAGAGGAGTTGTTAATCAAAGCTGGCTGTTTTGCCAATAGGATCTTTAATATTGAGCTAGTACACTGAAAAATACCCAACTTAGCAGCAGCAATGACCATATTCAACTTCCACTAACTGAACAGGCACATCTGGAGCTCCTATTGCCAATTGCAGTCTGCATGTAAACAAACCACTGTTGAACAATCCCTGCTTTAAACAAAATATTGGCCATGCATTAAAAACATTCATTAGTTGACTTGAAGCTTATATCTAGAAACATGTTATAAAATGTATGTTACATAAGAAGATTCGCCAATCCCTAGGCCCAACTTTGATCTGACAGGCTTGTAATACATTAGTGGAAACCCTGAAATCAGAATCACATCTAAACCGATTCATTAGAATAATTTAGGTTACACAAATTGAGGAATAATTTATTAAGATACATATTAACGAGTCAAAAGGTAGGAGCAGACCAAACTGTTTGAGGACTTTGATTAAATCTTTAATGATTATAGTGCATGTATGCATATATGTCTGTATATATCCAATCTCCTCCTTAGCGGCTGGGTTTTGTATGAACATCGTCACATATACAGTGATTATTAACATCTATGATGAGCATTTATTAACATCTATGTGCTTTTAAAATAAAGATTCTATAGCCAAATTATTTTGATTTGGCACATAACTTAACGGTCACCAACATTTGTGTAAATTACAGACTTTTCTTTGAGTCACCACTAAATACAGAGTGAAGAACTGGAAATGAAGTCCTTAAGGTCGACATGACGCATCAAATGTATAGAAGGTAATTTACACCAGAATTTACACTATAATTTACACCGTGCTCTATAAAACTGTCATAGATTTGAAAACTGTCGGTGAAAATGGATTTAATAAATAAGTGTTTGAAGTTAAAGGTTTGAGAGCGTGTGTAGTGTCCTCTTGTGCCAGTAAAGAATGCAATGTCACTGGGTTGGTTGTTGCTAGCAGACTCACATTAGCTTATGTTAGCTAACTCGTGACAGAACTAGCTCAGGGGAAAATAAAGAAAACTAAAACAAAAAAAACAGTCTAAGGGGATCACTTTTGTACCAATCCTGGCTCCAACACTGAATTTTATGTTAACAAGTATATACAGTTCACTTTCACTCTGTTTCTTAATCAGTAAGCAGTTCTTTATTGTTAGCTAGCTGCACTGAAGCAGGAAAAGCTTTTTAAGCTATTAGCGTTATAGCTAATAGTTGGCATCTGGTAACTGTAGGTTTACAGAGCACTTTATATTGTATTTCAGACTAAACAGGTTTCTATATAGCTTGCAAAGAATACAAATAAATC